AATTACTGGCAGTTGCTAAGTCACATTTTAAAACTCGATAGGTTTAACTACACGAACACTAGAGAAGACAAGTCTGAAATTGCTCGAATGAAAATTACACACACTGTGGAGAAAATTGTAATCATAACATAATATGAGCCTAGAGGCTCAAAGGCTATATTTAATATTAAAGATTTTGATAGAATGAGAAAACTTAAATATAGGCTAACTAATTAGTGGTGCTAGATTACTACTCCTAGATTAAGTCGCTAGTACATCTAGATCTAACATCAATGTTAGATCTGTTATTTCCATTTTTTTAGTCTGAGGTTTGAATCTAGATCTAATAATAATGACAGAAATTTAGCTTTATACATCTAAATTAGACCTCAGAATTGAGTGCATAGACTGAAAGCACCTTGTATTGAGTCTACCCAGATCTAGATGTAACCATACCTCATCAATTCTGTATCTGGATTTATTAGTCCTAACTTTTAGAACAAACGTTACATCTAGATCTATTAACTTAGTCATTAGATCTGTCCCAGTGCAATGCCTAGTTTAATAGTTAGTATAGGTCTAAGTATGCCTATAATATAGGCTACAATTTGTATGATGATGGACCTAGGGTCTAGAAATAAAGTTATAACTGCAATAAGACCTAAAGTCTAGTACATTAGTTGGTGTAAGACATGATTTACAATCAGCCAATATAATTACAAACCATTACATTAGGCCTATAATGTTTGCTAGATCTAGATCTAGGCCTTGCCTGTTGCATATATTGTTAGTCTTGCACATCAGTTAATATATTACATCAGTCTCATATTTTTTTTTATTGAACGTACACTTACTTGTACGTTGTACACTAGGACTTGTATTTGATCTACAGATGAGTGATGGAATAGTATAATTTACTTCTGTAAGTCAATTCGGTTTCACTGTATTTCAGTGGGCGGCTTTTAAAAGTTGAAACTACAAGCGTAATACACACAAATAACGTAACACTATGTCATATTTATTTAACGTAGAACAGTTACGCTATATCCTAGGGGAGGGCATAATTATTAATTAATAGGCATTATAGACCATAGGAAATGTTGCGCACATTCACACCTTCACCCGGGCGACTGTCCCCTTGCCCCTTTTTGCTACGCCAAGGTGTAGATCTGTTCTGTTGAATGGCCAAGGAGTTTATCACTGGCAAACACACCTCGGTGCTTTTTTTGTGTACACATCTCTTGTGAGATTATCTAACACATTTCTTTAGCCGTCATAGGTTTATAGATATCATTTAAGATATTTCTGGTCTGAGAAATGTCATCATTCTGACACATGCTAAAGCGTTTCAGAAAGGAACAGTTAAATATCCTTTGAAATGTATAGTGTGTAAGGCATTTTTAGTTTCGCAGAGAAACTTACAAGCTTCTATTAATAATGCATTCTCGGGTCAAGCACCCATACATCTTGTCATAGGATGTGTTGATAATGACACATTTAATGGATCTTGGAAAGATAATGAGTACACTTTCAAGTATTTAAATATTAATTTCGTGGCAATCACTGTGGATGGAGAATATATTCTTGCTTGGCCATTGTAACCTTATTTAATGTTGGTCTGTATACACGAAGTTGTAAAACATTACTTAATGAAAAAGAAAACAGTTTCAAAATCAAGGAATTGATGCTGGTTATATTGAGTAATTTGACCAGACACCCAATTTATCTGCAAGAAATTATCCCTTTAAGTTATTGAATCAAGGAAATTTATGAATTGAGATAGCAGGGTATTATCTAACACTCGTACATGCAGAAATTCAGTCCATTTTAGGATGGATTGATCTTGGTTTTCAACTATAGATAAAAACATGTAGAAGAACAACTTTGAATCACGATTCGTCATTGAATACAATAAAAAACGCACCTTTGCTTCATACAAGATGTAGTTAAGCTTACTCCGTTTGATAAAAATGTGTTTTGCAAAAAAGATCTCCACTATAATCCAGTAAAATTTGTATGATGACCTTATGCGTATAAAGATTGTGAGAATAAAAGATGAGCTTGCCGCTCATGTGTACATCTACTTGAGAAAATAGAGAATGAAGAAACAGCTTCACAGTAACAAAGATATCTTCATTGTTTTTATGTTGCTCCATTTTTGATAGTCTGTTTTTATATAAAAATATGATTGTACCAGACCTAAGTATTAATCTCCAGAACCTGATATAAAAAACTTGATGAAACTTCTGTCTGACACTCAAGCTAAAAAGGGAATATTTGGTCCACTGACCTTCTTTGACCACAGTCTGTGCCTGATAAAAAGAAGATAAAATGGTCTACATTCTGAATTTCTTAAACTGAAAGACAAAATACATCGACCTCAGACGTTTTTGAAAAGTTAAAATGAACTTCCTTCCACATGAAAAATTAAGTCAATACACAGAGCTAGAGATAGAGTTTTGTTTCTTTCTATTCAATTGAATGTTGTTTCACAAGCTTCTTGGCATCTTGATATTTCGAGCTCCTTGTATTGCTTGTTGTTTTCCAGCTTTGTCATACGATTTTCCTTGTTTGACATCTGAAGTTAAGTATATGCCAGTCTTAGCAGTATGTTTTCCTACATTTAAGGCTTCTTGTTTTAGAAATCAGATAGCTCAACGAAACAGATTTCTCAAAACATCCCCAACCTGTGACCCGATTGCCACTGACTTCCAGAAAGTAATCCGTGTTTTGCATAGTAATTGTAATATGTTTAATAATGTCACATACATTTTTAATGACGAAAATGAAATGCTATGATGAGTCTTGTTAAAGTGGGAAGAATTGGCCCATGTGATCCTTTATATCAATCTCAATAGTCCGAAAACCTTGCTTAGAAATGGGTCTGTACTACAGGTTTGTAAATGTTATGATCATGTCTAGATCTTGACCTTTAACTTCAATGATTCATATTAGTAGCATATTCACACAACCAACAATACTAGGTTCCATAATATCTGTGTTTACGTAGAGTGAATGATTTGCATGTTAACAGTATATGGAGCTTTATTGGCCTTTGCGATAATATAATTATTATCAAATCCAATTAGTACTGACAGTACTGGACTGAATGTTATAGAGGGCTATCACTCACGTTCACGCTTACTGTTATGGTGAGCAAATAATAAGTAAATAAAGTTTGGAGATGGCTTGAATGGGTAGTGAAAGAAACTTTTCTTCAAATTTACAATGTTTTGATAAGCTTATGTTATCATCAGGTGTAAGCTTGCCCAAACGTTTTTTTCTTCTTCTAAAAAAAAGTGGGTTCCTCTTCATCAAATTTGTACCATAAGTAAGGTAAGGTTTTTTGGGGATTTAGGAAGTGATCTTTCTGTATTGTTTAAGATTCTAATTAAACCTTCAGAAAATTGCGACTTCTTGCAACAGAAGAGAATCCACGAACGCAAACATCTGTGGCAAAAGCCATTCATATGCCTTAGGCATCAGAAGGTAACATAATCAAGAAGCATCTAGACAATAGTAACTTGTACCCAATTTGTTTCCACGACACAATCGCTCAACCATCGCGTACCTTAAACAGCAGTGTGAAACGTGTATTCATGCTATAATGAATACCAAGATATACTGGTCAAATTGCAGGATGCAGTACCTATGGATTTTTGTATGATCAGACATTTTGAAACAGGCTTAGGGAAACCGTCATCTTCGTACATTAGGTGGATTATAAATAGTTTAGAGGGAAGGAAGAAATATGTGATACTGACATGATAGCGTCTAGCTGGAGTATTTTGCAAAAGAAAATGCTCTGGAGGGCTATTACCAAGATGCATATCAGACATAGCATGACTAGACTTGGAGACGTCAGTTGTAATAACGTGGTGAAGATCCAAAGTCGTTTCAATATAACATACTAAACCTGAGTGTAAGGTATAGAATAAAGCACCTTATGGAGACATGGTTGTTCTCTTTGAGTGTTATTGTGCTACACACGATTTTGCTGAAAGAGATCAAACATACAAGTATGAAAATATATGATCCAACTCTCATGTTCATTAAGTTGATAACATTTATAACATGTTCATCCTATACAATTCATATTTAAGTACTTTATGCATTTACAAACCTTGCCATTGAGAAATATGTAATTATTCTCTTTGTGTTTCAATAACCATTATACTTCACTATATTTATCGTCCATTGCGTGTAAGAACTAACTCTCTACTGTATTTGAATATTTTATAATTGTATATTGAGAGATTTTCATGACATTTTGATTTAATTTTGAAAACATACCCTTATCTTGGTAACACTGGTAAACAAATAAATTTGTAATGTCATCGTTAATATTTTGGAGACATACAGTGCTCTTTTTTTTGTTGAGAATGTTTGACTTATAAAGATACATTGACTTAAAATTTGATTATTTCTTTATCGACTATTTTAATTGAATTACCAGTGAGAATTTTTAAAAAGTTTTACAGCTTTACTGATCGGATTTATATACACCACAGACTTAATACAATCAGTGTGGAAAAAATACGTCGTAATTGAATTCCAAGCGTCAAGGACATGAATATTTTTCTTAATTAATGTGATATGAATGAACCCTGTGACACCACGTTTTCTATTATGTAACCTGAAAGATTTGGACAAATGATTTGAACACTGGTTTGTGCGTATGTTACTCAGAGTTAGTTCTCCATTCGGAGATAATTGTGTAAAATGATGTTTTTAATAAGATTTTGTTAACAATATCAGTTTTGGGATTTAAGGAAAACGTTGTTGACAGGGAAACAGAAAAAAATGCAAATTAAGTACTATTAGTCGAAGTTTTGGTAGATATTTGTACTTCTGTATTGAATATCATACATTGCATTTCAAATTTAGGTCAAATTAATGGTTGATATAAAATGTAAAGAAAAAACACATTGTCTTGTTTATTCATCGAAGGAATCTTTTAATTCTGTTTTCTTGATCAGTTTGTTTTACATGGATTCCATTTTTTGATTTTTATGACATAGGCCAATTACAAACGGACACGTCTCAGATCTCCTGTGATTTCCAGCAAAATCTCTGCAGCTGGAAAAACCGTGGAAGCAACAGTGCTTGGGATACTGTGGAAAGTTCTGTATTTACCAACACACCACCACCATCTGGTAAGTCTGGTATAATGTTTTGAAACAGTGAAGCTATATATTCAGACGAAACACTACATAGAACAAAAGTTTTTACATCCCGTAAGGTTGAAATTCTTTCATTTTCATAGTATGTTGTTGATTAAGTCAATTATGTCACTGTTTGGGATGATCTTCCACTAATCACCAATTCTTCATGATCATTCTACGTTAGATCCCCACTGGAATGTATCAAGTATAATAGAATTTCAGCTTTCTTTTTATATTTCTGAGGAATGCTGTTGATGATTTCTAAATTTTCCTGTGTCAGCAATTCTATTTAATTTTAATGGGTTCCATGGTTGTGAATGAAAGGTCGGATGACATTGTTGCAGTTGGTTTATCATCTTTTCTTGATCATCTATGTAATGTATCATTTTGTTTGACTGAATTCATATTGTTATCTATATAGTTTAGTGCTTTATCTACAGGCCTTTCATAAACTTTGGATTGATAAAAAGTATGTACTAGTTCTTCAGGAACAAGAACCATTCATTTTGGCATATTTTTAGAATCCAGCAGCTTTACCAATAGCTCATCTTGCCAAAACCACCAAATAATGAAACTATTGGTGCCACATGTAATGGTAAAAAACCCCTTTCTCTATTAGCAAGCTTAATTTCTGCTTAGCTGATGTTTTCTTGACAGTCAACTCTCTCAATAATGATTTGTATCATCTAAGTTTCTGCTTTTGTATGTTCGTCATGTAAAGGGAATGTAACCCTTTAAAATATTTAAAGCACATTCACAAATACTTAAGATAAATTTGTTTTAGCTCCGACAATTATTCCTTTAATCTGTTTGTGTGTAGCTTTAGGTAATGCATGGAACAACTCTTGATGTTGTTTAATTCTGAGTGTATAATTACAGTGACAACGATCAGCCTCTGAAACATATTTACTTGAAAACCGTTTTTAAAAAAAAAACACTCATATATATTCAGTGACTAAACATATTAATGAAATTTTTTTAATTACATATAATCCATCCTTCAAATAAAGTCCTTCTAGTTTTATCACTGCAGCAGTCATCATGATAAATGGGTATACATACAGTTAAACAATAGTTTATACTTACTTTGGTATGTAAACTATAACTCAGACGGATCTTTTCTGGCGTTTATGGTTTGAAATCGATGAATAAGTAACCATATGGTTGTCTCGTGCATCTTGATAATGTTCTTCAAAATATTTGACAAGTGATGGAAACATTTGTCTCACTAAAACAATCAAGTGAGATTTGTCTGTGAAATCTTTGAAAAAATAGTATATTGAGAATTTAAACTATTATTACGCATTTCTTTACCCTGATTAAATAGATTCTATGCAATATAAAATAATGAAAAATTTAGATGTTGACTTCCACATGTCAAAAGTTGAAACACTAAATTATTTTCTCCACATTCACTCATATTATCATCAATGATAAAAATATTTGGTTTATCAGACTGTAAGTAATCATAAAAATTTTCAGGTAAGCCTTTGACAAAATGAATGTTGGGAATATTTTGCACTAATTTTGTGTACTGTGGTTGAAATTCACCATAAAAACCATATGATGTTTTCAGGAATAAGATAAATACCTTCACGATGATAAGTCAAAACTTTGCCTACAAACCGTGATTTACCACTTCCTCCAATGACAAATAAATGAAATGGGACTCACTTTATATAGATCATATTCGAGTGCACTTGGGATCTGTTCCCAAGGTCCTGTAAATGTCCTCTTTTTATCCGTAGATCATGGCTAGGAGTTAATTCCACAAGATAAAAATATCAATATCCATATGAAAGGGTGTTAAAGTCTGGAAGGCTGTGTCATTTGGTGTAAATTGGATGATAATTTTTCTTTTCTTTCTTGTTGTAAATGGTCTGAGTCTTTAAATCTCTACAAATCTTCTTATGGTTATTCACAGTTATAGGAGGCTGAAAAGAATTGAATATATCTGTTATCATACATTTCATTGATGAGAGGTTCGTTTTTTCTGTTGATAAAATTGAGGATAAACCCAGTCATTTTACATCATGACTTTCCATTGTAAACTCGCTAAGATAATCCTCTATAGGTGGATCATTACATCCATATGAAATGTATATAATACTTTCGGGACCACTGTTTTTTGGACCACCACTGACCCACGATATAGTGTCTGTCTAGATGATCTGTAAACTCACTAAGATAATGCCCTAGAGGTGCATCGTTAGATCCATTTGAAAACAGACAAAAGCTGCCGAAAATATCTTGGTTTGATCTTTCTGGGGCAGATATTCATATTTATGCTTCCAATTAAGATCTGTTACTTCCTCATTAATCAATGCAACATCTGTTATCATTTTCGTATTATTGTTCACTAATGAATGGTATTCTTTATTAGATGTTACATATGTAAGTTATGGTTGGTCCTCAGATATACCCTAATGCCCCCCCCCCAAAAGAATAAGACATAATTTTGCAACTGACATTTTCCTGGATTAAAAACAATGTTTTCAGGGGTCAGTTGCACTCATTCATTTTCACTATATTGATCAACGTAATATTGCTTTGCCTCAGATGTTATACAGTGAGAGGGCCAACCAGAACTTTTTTGGTTTAATTTAAGAAAGCTATCAATGTAGTTCTTAAAAAGATATCTAGATTTGACAGGAAAATGATAAATCTCAAATATTATTATTACCTGGTATCAACAACTGCTTTCTTTACTTCTTCTGTGACCCAGGTACCAATTAAAGTTCTCTTTTCATCACTGAGGTTACATGGTGGGGATGATTTGAAGTCTACGAATGATCCACATAATGGAACGGTAAATTTATCGTCACATCTAAATGGGTAAAACTGGATGATAGAGTTTCTTCAGGGTTAGAATATGACATTTAATAAAACCAAAATAATTAGTTAATCTAGAAAAATTTGTAGTTATAACTGTAGGATGTCCAACCAGATACTCATAACATTTATTAGCCCATGGATATAGTGATGTAAAATCCACATACTTCATCTTTTATCCTTCTTTTATATCGTATAAAAGTCTTGTTGCATTTTCTCTCCTTCCACAGAAGGAATCTCGTAAATCTGGGCGGGAAACTACTGTATAGTCCTAAAGGAAATTTATTAACTCTGTTTCATTAGTTTCCATTTTCTTAAATTCATGCTCCCATATTGTTATGACTTTATATCGTAGTGCTTTGATTTGTTTCCGTCTTTCAAATGTATGATTTTTAATAAACGACATGGATCTATTTACAACTACATTCTTTGTGTCAGAGTCATAAACTTTATTACAACCATGGTAGTAGCATCCATAAAACTCATAGATCGTGTTTTGTTTAATACAGAAAATGTCTACTTTACAATTCAGGATTTGTTTCTCAACAGCATTAAATGTATGTTGGATCTTTATCCCTCAGATTTTTGCACATAATCTAACCATTGGATACTTACTTGGCTGTAGTTATTGGTTTTAAAGTATCCGTGATTATGTATGAGAGCTATTGATCATTGTGGTATAGATTTCCTTTTGAATGCAGCCGTTGTACAAAGGTCGTGTACTGAAGGGATCTACATCGCAGGTTGCGAGAAATTCTTCTCCGAATTGAAGACAGCACCATCAAAATCTATCCACATCTGATCAGCAGTATCCAAAGAAAAAGTAAAGAATGATAAATATAATTTTCAACAGTATTTCCAAGAGAAGTTAAAAATGTACTCTTCTTCTCGTCGCTGACAGTGTCAATCCAGAAACTTTTGTCTTATGGGTGCTGACATACTGTTGGGAGATTGAAAACTAGCGTCCGATATAGGTCCTCGATATTCCTGATTTGACTTTACATTGAAAAGATGAGGGAAATGTCAATTATTCTAATTCTGAGACTTTTGATGGGCATAACCACAATTATTCTATTGTTTACAATAATTTCAGGCTTTATACCTTGACGAATAAGATGATTCAAGATAAAGTGCCTATCAAAACCTTTTATAGCTGTATAATTCTTATGTTCTTTTGAAAATAAGAATTAACAAAATTCAACGCATGAATTATAACCTTTGAAAACTGTTTCCTTATCGTTAAAATCATGGACCTCACAGCAGTTTACCTCGTGAATTCTGGTTTATTTGACGAATCTTTGACATCTTTATCCTGGAGAAAACATAAATGACTGTTTAAGATATGTTTTACATCCTACACTTATGATTTTGCCACATAATGGAATTCAGGGTTACGTTTCTTTCTATCAAGAATGACAAAAAATGCTACACTGGTAAAAATTATCATATGAAGATACCGCTTATTTACCATTCTTTGATTTGTGTCTGTTGTAACATTTTGCAGATTTACAAAATCTGTTACAATCAGTACAAACTATCAGTTGACCGTTCGAGCATTCATTACTATAATAAACATTACAATATTTAGAACAATGATGTTAATTTAAATGTTCAAATGTCTTGTCACATTCTGAACAGTAATAACTTACCCCAAGGAAACCTTTCATTGACGTTATAAAGTTTAAATGATAATCATGGTACCATAGGTAACATTTGTCTTGTGAAAGTAAAACATTAAGTATCCTACAGAACTTTGTCTGAAAGAAGCTATGAACACCTTAGAAATGTATTTCATACTTTCATAAGATTTGTGTACTCAAAGACATTTGGAGGTGTGTTTGCCAGTGATCAATAGCTATATAGAAAATGGATAGATGAACAGTAAGTAATTCACTTATTATTTTTAGTTGTAGCAAATTGTATCAGTACAGATTTTATAATTTGCAAAATAATGGTTTTAACATAATGAAAATTAAATCTGACAATGATGACGCAATCACATGTTGAGGTGTAGTAACACTGACACAGTATAATTGTTAAAATCCTATGGACAGTCATTAGAATAATAGTAATTAAATATAGACATTGATCATGTGTGGAAGTATAGTGTCTGACATTGTAAAACATGACATTCAAATATTAAATATCCTGTTTATAATAAAGTAAGTTGTCAAGTTATAAAGTCAAATTAGTGAAAGTGTTAGTTTAATTATTGCATAATATTTAATAAACGTTTTATTGATGATGCATGTTGAGACAAATTGAAAAGCAATTTGCTTTAGTAACACGATGTATATGTATAACACCATTCATCTTTGTAAAACACGTGTAAATGAATTATTTTGTCAAGTTATAGCATAAAGTCAAAATCAATTCAGCCGTTTTTGAAAAATCTTCCTGAGAAACACACACATACACACAGGTGTGAAAAGAACTTCCTTCCACTTCGGTGACGGAGGTAACAGCTTAGTTTCAGATACGTAATCTAACTGAAATATTAGATAACTGAACGACATATGCCATTTTTACTTTAGTTTAACACTTTCAGCATCTTTTTGCTGGGTCTTTTATACTTTGACATCGTATTCATAGCTTTCAGAGTTCGAATCATTCTTCTTTCTTTCTGCAACAAAGATATTTTTGCTCTTGAAGCAGCTTTTTTCTTGTTTTTTTCATCTATCACCTTTCTCTGCTTTTTCAAATGTTCCATCATTAAATTGTTCTGAATTGAATCCAAAGAACTTTGATGGGATGTTTCAATGTTGGGTCCATGTTGTAAATCTGAAGTAGATTATAAGTGGATGATATAATTTATGCGCTTTTTCATTTGTTGTTTTTGTACTATAACTGCACTCTCATTCGGTAACACATCATTTGCATATCTTTTATTCGGTGATGACAGTAATGAGAGAGAAGGAATAGCATCTGGCTTTAGACTTAGTTTGTTTTTGTACTGAAGAAGTTCAAGGTTTTACGTTTCTCGAATAATCATGAGTACTAAAGTGGCCAGAGCCTATGACTGTTCTTATAGAACGGATCATATATATGTATGCTCTTTTGCATCTACCAATCCAGGTTTTAAGCAACTGTTTATCTACCGCGTAAAATCTATGAAATTTAATGTTTCTGTTTTTATCACAGTTTGAACAAATAGTTAGAGCACATTTTCGAACACCTGCTGTCTTTATGATACTGATTTGTTAGCAAATAAAAACGAAAACTGAACCGGAAGTAATAATATATTTCGTTATTTCAAGTGTTTCAACAAGGAGCACGGTACCCAAGACGGTGCGTGGACAAGTGACGTAACTTGCCACGAGCTAAGAGTCGCGAAACAAGCCTTGTAATAACCTAAAACGTATATAATTCAGAACACCGACAACAGCACAGATTACCTAATCGTCATAATCAACACAGCTACAAATCACAAACTATGATTGGTTACTTCCAAACGTAAATTCACAGTCCTACGTGTGAATATCCAAGGTGGACTTGCTTCCAAGAGACAAGAGATTGAATACTTAATGAAACAGTCAGATACTGTTATTGTTTGTGTTACTCAGGCCCTTATCACTACATATACATTATTAAATTTTTCTAGGTGCTCAACAATCAGATCAGATCTCTTAGATAATAGAGATCCAAATCGGGGCATATCAATAATGTGTAAATCAACTTTAGTTATCACTCAGATGATTTTCGCCACCACAAATGAGTGCATATCTATTGAAATTACCTTTACAGGTAATATAGTTGTAACTGTGACCAGCATCTACTGCTCTCCATCGAGGGATTTAGATACTAACCTACAACTGAACATTATTAATCATAACAAGAAATATGAATGAACAACAACTGGAATATATGGGACTATGTGTGCAATAGAAGACTGTTTATATTTCACATAACACATAAATGGGCATAGTCCTGATAGGGGTATTGTAATTACAACATGACTTACATAAATACGGAATTCTCGTTTATATTTAATAGAAAACATTTAATAGTGTTCTTAATTTAACGGTGCTGACTTAAACAGATCACAATAACATCAGGGCAGAAAAAGGTCTACATGGTACCTGACTTTCCCAGATCCAGATCAATATCTAATCCATTTTTGTATGTTTAAAGCTCTAACTAATCGTAAGTCTTTGAAATTCCACGATCTAACGTAGAACATTTATTTCAGATTGAGTTTAGTTTGAAACTTTTTTTTATATTTTTAGTCATGCTGGTACTAAAGAAAAACATGCACACACAAGGAAGTTTATTCATGTTCATATACTATATATCAACCACCATCTGGGATGGCATTTTTGTTTGAAGAACGTGTATCACTTGAAAGTATTTCCTTTTCATATGTAGTGATGATAAAATAATTTAACTTAAAGCAATAGTTGTTGTTTAACATTTATTTTTACTTTGTAGGGACACGAGTTGCAGCACTTATTGCAAGGGATAATACATCAGCCTACCTAATAAAAGAGAATATTGACAAAGAAAGTACCACGGGTAAGGTACGGTTGTGGGTTTGGCTGTCCAAAGCAGAGTTTGAAGTAGCAATACGAGATGTTAACAAAATACCAGTTTGGACGATTGATTCTGCTAATGTGAAAAAGTTTGAGAAAACATGGCATAAAATCGAGTTTTATTTAGCCGACGAAGTAAAAAAACTAGAATCGAAAACAAATAATTTCGAGGTAAGAATTTATATAAAATATATAAGGAATTAATTGTAATATTAATTGTAATTAATAGAAATTATCGCATCAAGTTTCATTCAGAAGTATACTGTTGAAAACCTCATTTTATCATAAATCATGATAGTGGTTCATTATAGGGATCGATAATATTTTGACTCTGATAGAGTGCACGGCAAAAACCACCTTAGAAAAGGCAAACTCGTTCCTAAAATAATATTCAAAAGCTTTCTTTACAACACTAAAGACCATACACGTTTAAAAAGGTTGGAAAAATAAACTTTCAGATACTTAGAACGAATCTAAAATCCACCAAAAACTGCTCAATTATTCATATTATTATTCTCTCTTTTGCCAGCCTAGGGCAAAAATGACTTGAAACATTTCACCTAAAACTTTTGTAGAATACTAAATAAGGTACTGCAAATCTTAGAGGTATTGAAAGTCAATTTGTTTCTTCTGTATTGAAAATAAGCAAAACAAAAGACAAAAAACATCATAATTCTAGTGTAAACGATGCTATCATTACCCTTTGAAAGGCACGGCATGGCTAGGTGGTTAGGGCACGCGACTCGCAATCTGCGGGTCGCGGTTCGAATCTCTGTCACATCAAATATGCTCACTTTTTCAGCCGTGAGGGCATTATAATGTGACGGTCAAGCACCCTATTCGTTGGTAAAAGAGTAGCCTAAGAGTTGGCGGTGGGTGGTGATGACTAGCTGCCTTACTTCTAGTCTTACACCGCTAGATTAGGGACGGCTAGCGCAGATATCCCTCTTGTAGCTTTGCGCGAAATTCAAAGCAAGAAACAAACCCGTGAAAGTTAGCTTTTTTAAAAATATCTGATATTCCTTTAAAAAGCTTAAATGCAGGGTAAAAGAGGAATTGCCAGCAAATAATAGATGAACTTTAAATGATTGTAATATCTAGATACTCAATGCTTTGTTCACTATACTATCGGTGTCTTTAGGGAGCCAACCACTATATTATGTATGAAGTGAAAGAGTAAAAAAATATCAATCCACATAATATTATATTTTCTTACACATATTCGAAGAGTGTTTATTTTAAAACACAAGAAGGTTTATTTGAAGCAATGTTTTGGACGTATATGCTATTTGAAAAGACTGCTTTTCTACTGTTAAAAGCTTAGTGGTGGTTGTATCCTAGCTTAAGCAAATACTTGCCCATTGCTAATCATACACAAACATTTTTTGAACCCATGCATAGATAAAGAATATAGAAAATAAAGAAGCTAGAATATTAAAAAAAAACTCAACATACTTTAAAAAAGTAATAGCCATTCGGAGGTTATAGCTTTGAAAAGTAAAGAAACAAGGTCTTAAATAACAAATATCTATGATGTTGCAAATCGTTTTATCAGCTAGTGTGTAAATCTATAATAAGCAATAGAACATGTAGAAATTACTGATAATAGAAATAAATCCTGTGAAGTTGCAACTTCCTATTTTGACTGTTTCTATATAGCAATAACAGGTAGCTAACAGCCAAAATAGGTATTCACAGGAATTTCTATTAGCAGTAATATTTACTTGTTCCATTACTTATTATAGATTTACACACTAGCTGTTTCAATGATTTGCAACTTCATAAAATGTTGTTATTTAACCTCTTGTCGTTTGCTATTTATAACTATGACCTCCGATCGCTATTACCCTTTTTTAAAAATGTTACTTTTTATATATATTCTAATGTGTAGTAGTAACGTCCATTAAGATACATTATTCTATTCCAAAATTAACTTTAATATCGTTCCTAATAATACCTATGTGTAATGTTAATGGAAATATCATAGTTGTGTAAAAAATAAATCAAGTCATAAAAATAACAACTGTTGCACTGAAATTATCATATATATGTTTTATATAAATGAGTTTGTTTGTAATTAAGCACAAAGCTACACAATGGATTATTTGTGCTCTGCCCATCACGGGTATCGAAACCCGGGTTCTAGCGTTGCAAGTCCGCAGACATACCGCTGTGCCATGGGGGCGTATAAATGGGAGATTATGGAAAATTGTAAGATATCCAGAACAAGTAGAGTGAAACAAATTCATAATGATAACAATAAACCAGACTGTAACTTTCTAATGCCAGACTTTGTACAACGTTATCTTTAAGTTATTTCCTTCTGAAAGAGTACTTGATCCTGTTCACCTGTCCATATGACTCAAGTTCGTGAAGTTTTTTGTAAAAATATTTTAAAATGGTTGCTCATTTAAGGCATGAAAACGCATTCTGAAACCAGCTAAGAAACTGAAGTTTGTAGCATGCAACTTGAACCATTATCATCAAGTGTAGATTGAAAGATCTAATGCTTTAATTATGAAAACTTTCCTTCCAATCAATCAAACTGGTCTGTAATACATATCATTCCATAGTTTTAAGCTTTGATGTCTAACGTAGTTCGGGTGGGTGATGCATCTAATGTGTTATGTTACTTCAGATATTAATGTGTTATGTTACTTTGGGGTCGTAGATGAGTATTAACACTGAATGTTAGTTCTCGTTATTTGATTCAAGTAGGCAAGAGTTGACGGTCGGTGCTGTTGACTACTTGCCTTCCCTTTATTATATGAGCTCAAAATAAGGATAGCTAATTAAAATAGCATTTGTATAATTTTGACTGATTATCGAAAACAAAGAAATAAGTGTAATTATAGTAAAGTTGTTTGATGTTTCAGCGATAAAGGTCAGTATAACTTAAAGATCCTTAAAGTTTTCAGCAAGAAAAATGTTACATGTGAGAACATTTTATTGAACAAGCTAGTTGATCATAACATGGCTTTAATAGTTTCGTTTGAGTTAAATTACTGATTAATTGTAATATATTAAAAGTTAGAGCTTTTACAATAAGTAAGATTTGTTTTTAGAACAGGTATGACCTTTCGATCACTACTGCGATCATTTAATGTTTGAGAATGATTGCGCCAGTAATCGAAACGTCGTACCTGTTCTGAAAACAAATCTTATTCACTATAAAACCTGAAACTTGTAGCGCGTTTCTTAATATTAGAGACCTATGATACATTAATAATGTTATTATTCAGCTTAAAGAATGGTTTATAATCATGAAAGAAACAGCAATAATATGGAGAGTCATTATCATTGAAATTTAGTATAAACAATTATAAAACATTAGTTTCAATATTGATTAGAATATACGAATTGTGGTAAAATAAACTGGTATTTTACCATTCTCACTTAATACTAATATCAAGTCAGTAGCCTTTTTAAATTATGATTTTTTTCCTTCTCAAGATATGGCTTCACGGCACTGTTTCAAGAGATCCCGAATCAGTGGTTGCAGTATCAAAGATAGAATATTTGACGACCTCTACAACAATAGTAAACACAAATAACACGGATGAATTGACGAGCTCAACCACAGTTAACAAATCTACATTCGGTGATATCCTATCTGAAACAACTTCCCAGGAAACTTCATATAGTGATTTGTATGCTAAAACCACATCAAAGAACCCCACGGACATGAACTTACACACTACAAACAAAAAGCACAAAACCACAAAAAATATTAAGTACACTACAAGTACGTCAGAAATACCTACTGACTATAAAAAATATGAACAGACCACGAACGTCAAACCTACTGACGACAGTAGCAGTGGAAAGACTACGTCCGCAAATACTAGAGAAGACAATAAATATGATAAAATTATAACAACCAAACTTACAGCTGATAACAATGATGAAGAAGTCACGACATATAAACAAACTGAAGACAGTGGTAATGGAAAGACGTCTCCAACCAGATCTACAGTCGATAGTGATTGTAGAAAAACTACGCCACACAGGCATACAGATGCTAATAATAGTGAAAAAACTACACCAAACAATCCTACTGATGATAATAGAGATGTAAAAACTATTCAAAGCAAACCTACTGATGATAATGGGAATATTAATACCACGCCAGGAAAATCTACGGACAACAGTGAATATGGTAAAATCACACTAGGTAAAACTATAGACAATAATAGAGGCTGGCAAACTACACCAAACAAATATACAGATGACAAAAACAACAGAAACACTACACCAAACAATAGTACTGACGATAATCGAGATGGAAAAATTTCTTCAAGGAAAACTACCGAAGATGTTAAATACGGAAAAACAACCCCATACGAACCTACTGATGATAATGTAAATGACAGAACAACGATAAACAAAACCACTGAGGAGAATAGAAATGAAAACTCTACGACAAATACACCAATTGATGAGTTTAAATATGGTACAACCACGCCAGGCAAACCTACTGACGATAATCAAGATCTAAACATTTCTTCAAACAAACCCACTGATGATACAAAATATGGAGAAACTACACCATACAAACCTACTGATGATATTGGAAAATCTACGTCAAATACTCCTACCGATGATAACCGATATGGTAAAACACCGCCAGACAAACCTACTGATGATAACCGATATGGTAAAACACCGCCAGACAAACCTACTGATGATAGTGAATATGGTAAAACGACACGACACAATTATACAGATGATAATGGAAATGAAAAAACTACACGAAACAAACCTACTGATGATAATGAAAGCCCCATGCCAGACAAACCTACTGACCACAGTGGATATGAAGAAATCACGCTAGGTAAAACTACTGACGATAGTGAACATGGTAAAACGACATCACACAGTTACACAGATGATATTGGAAATGGAAAAACTACACAAAACAAACCTACTGATTATAATGAAAGCCCCATGCCAGACAAATCTACTGACGATAGAGGATATGATGAAACCACGCTAGGTAAAACTACGGGTGATAATGGTGGTTGGAAAACAGCATCAGACAATAATACAGATGATAACAGAATCATATCCACTTTGTCAGATAAACCTACTGACGATGATGAAGACGGAAAAGTTTCTTCAAACAAATCTACTGCCGATATAACATATGGACAAACCACGCCCTACAAACCTACTAACGATAATGGAAATGTCAAAAGCACATCAATGAAATCTACTGACGATAATCTAGATGAGAAATCATCTTCAAACAAGTTTACTGAAGGTGCTAAATATGAAAAAACTACCCCAGACAAACATACTAGTGATAATGGGAAATCTACGACAAATACTCCTACCGATGATGATAGATACGATAAAACTAACCCAGACAAACCTACCGATGATGATAGTGAATATAGTAAAACGACACCACACAGTCATACAAATGATAATGGAAAAACTACACGAAAGAAATCTACTGATTATAACGAAAGCCCCATGCCAGACAAATCTACTGACGATAGTGGATATGATGAAACCACGCTAGGCAAAACTACTGATGATAATGAAAACGGAAAATCTACTTCCTCAAATGAACTTGTTACAAGCTCTCAGGGTGAACCCAGAAGTTATATCAATTGGTGGCAGATTATCTTAATCAGCCTGTGTATGTTTTTGTTGCTAGCTTTGTGCGTATGCTGTATTCTTGCCACTCCATCACGTCGAAAGAAGAGAGAAGATTATCCTCGCATTAGGTCTTTCGATAGAGATGAAACTCCTTTGATAACTTTTCTTTCTTATAGAATATAATGCTTATTTCTCAATCTGCACTAAAGCACACCGAAAATTTAATAAGTTTATACATAGTAAAGTGTTATAATTGTATGTATTGGTTACTATCTGCATTGTCTACGTATAGTATTACTCCTACAGTATTGTATATTGATGGCCAGTTCTTTTCTTAAATGTTTCCTCTGCTTCTACTTCCTAATTTCTTTGTGAGTATCAAAAATATATGTTATTTTGAAAGCTTCTATTTGTGTTTATATATATATATGCGTGTGTATGTGTATAATTATGTATTTGAAAAATAAAAATATTTCTTAACCTAACAATAGTTATATTTATGGAGAAATAGAGGTTGTAGAAATTTTATTATATATTTGTCTTGTAGCGAAGAGATAATTACCTATTATATGCTATAATATCTTACAAGTATTGTTACATCAGTTTAAATATTTAAAAATTAATTATTCGTTATCAAAAGAATATTAATTTGATGAAATTAAATTTTCAATGCTTGAACTAGACGTGGTCTAATGAACTTTTCGAGCTGTGATGAAAGAGTATGGGGATCGTGACTTAATACTTCTATTTAGCCGACGTGTGCATAAGGCGTTGTTGAATGTGATATATTCCAATTTTATTTATACTTTAATATTTAGACAGATATCATCCTTTACAATGATAGAAAACACTCTTTAGACCAGAGAGTTCTTTGAAAAACTGATAAATTTTGCATCTAAATGCAGTTTTAAAGACATTTTTATATGGAATTAAAGTCCAATTGATAGTGTTATTTTGCTGTGGATTGACACGTTGATCATGAAACATGCAAGCTGTATATTGTGATAATAACTACATAGTTACAGATAATAACACCATTCATTCAGAAATTTTATCCACATCCATCAGATTCCTTTTGGCAGTTTTTGACATAATATTTCATTTATAACATTTACAAAACAAATATAAAATGTCATAAAATCTTAGGATGCTAATTATTACACTTATAATGATACATCAGGAGCAAAAATTAACAACTTAAATTAATTAAGTATTTGTATAGCTCTATAATTTTACGTGTATTTAATATAAAAATTAATAGTTTATCAAAACGTACAAGAATATATTGTGAAATAAGATATGAAAGGTAATTATAAATAATTTACTGATAGGGCTAGTTTTACAACTGCATAATAATGATTGTTTTTTGAATATTGATTAACTTTACCTTGCTGTACGGCAAGAAGGTGCCCATGCTTGATCTGTGTCCTTCATTTGCTTTCACGGAGATCCTAAAGAGTTAATCATGGTATCCATCCACAAATAGAATATTCTACTATATGGCTTGACGTTACTGGTACAGAAGTAGTTTCAAATTCCACACAATGTCCAGAGTCAGGACATTTAATAAAGAAACAGGGTTTCACCGACTGGCGAGATAATTCGTTGGCATTACCTAATTTGCGGACTTGGAAGAGGCTATATATTGAAGTCATAATCTTATAACACTGTTATTCAAGTTTCTTTCATTTCCTAGAAATATTAAGGTTCTTTAATCATGCCTGTTTACATTTTTCATTTCATACAAAGTACATCTCACCTTTAGTGAGAGTAGAGTACTGCAATCTTAGAGAAGCTGTCCACAACCCATAAATTATACGATATAAAACCAAGGAAGTTGTGGAACTCTCACTTCGTTGTAGTTTGATGCCAGTCTCTCCCCACTGCTGTTTCATTAGAGTCTATTGAGACTCGATCTTTACCTACATTATGACCAGAAATTATATTTTCATGTGCATCAAGCGCACAAAGTATTGGTTTCGGCTTCAAGTCAGCCTTCTCTTTGTTCCCTGTTGAGATAGTAGTAAATCTACGGATTACAATGTTAAAATACATGGTTCCATTTTCCGTTATGGACAAAGTTGATGGCCCAATGTGATTTTGCTATAAAACAAATAAGCAAACCTTTTTTATTTGTTGAAATACTGATCTCAGGCTCTCAGCCACAGACTTGAATATGGAACCTCATTTCATTCACCGTGCCTACGAAAATTTCAGTGATAAACTGGATAACAAACTGGCTATAGATATATAACAACATTGAGACTTCATCTCTTCATACAGATAACTTCACTAGCTAATGGTACAGTCTATTTTATGTATGTGTTCTATAAGAATGTTGCATAGTGTCAATATAGTAGACTTTGTCTGTAGTAAACTATGAAACACCACTTATACCTAACCAGGTACAACATAGGCAAAACTGACTAATAGTTTACAAATATGCTCATAACAATGCCATAACAAAGCTTAGAATAAGTCATACACCTGCCTGCTTTGGAAACCGGCTATTCCAAGCCCTTACTTACCTGAAATGCGTAAGTAAATGATCAATGTGCCAAGCCAAAGCCTCTCTCTCTCTTGCAAATTTTAGCCAATACCTGACTGAAATGATGCATCACGCAAACAGTGTTATACTGAGGAACTTCAACTCATGGAGAAGTAGACATTTCCTAGTCCAGCGTGGCAGACCAATGAGTTGCTCTTAGCAGCTCTTTAAGCAGCTCCAAATGACCCCAGTATCTCTGTAATCCACAGTCACACTAACAAGATGTCTCCCAGCTCGAAGAAGCTCACAATTGTCCCATTGTTACCCAGTTGGTACCCACTGTTTCACGTACCAAAGAAAGCTATCCAGTTGGTGGACTTCATCCATCAATGGGACTTCTAGTTTTTCTTGGCTGGTTTCGGGTGGCCTTAACTAGAGGTGAGGTTCAATTACTCTGTATGGCAAAAACCTTAGATACCTACTGTTTCATATGATTTTAGACCTGCAAGATGCCATTATACCTTAAAAGCCCTAAAACATCACGCTTCCCTCGCACTGATACTGATTCTCAGGGGCAACACCCACTTCGCCATTTTGGATAACCGAGATGTTGTCTGATCTTTGTGAGTGTGTGGCTGCAGAGAGTTCAGCGTTATGCAGTATTGGCAAAATACAGAGGTTCAGGAGAGAACATTTACTAGACCCAGCAATGCTTTCAGACAAACACCTCTCGGTTATGAGTACATCTATTTGTGAAAAATGTCAATCTCTTAAAGAAGAAGCATTTCTTTAAACGTTATAGCCAAAGAATTCAAGACAAAGAAATAAACTCATCAGATGAAAACCTACCATTGGAGATGCTGTCTACTTTCATACATGAGATGTAACTTTACAAATATTTTCTCTATAGGTATATCAGATGTTATCTCTGGGAACATCACAGATTAACGGAAGTAAAAATAACTTAACGTATTTCTTGATATGTACGTGGAAAAGTCCACATACCTAGAATTAAACTAAGAAGATTGAAAAGTTTCTATATCAGAATAAAAAGGTAGAAAATGTCTGGCATGACTGCATGCCATACGTGCACTAAGTCTACATTTGATATGTAATCTAAATTTTTTGTAAAATGTTCTTTCTAAACGCAATTTCATCTAATCACGAATATTTCAATTCAATCCAATCGAAATAGCATTTGCTACTGCTAGAAAAACAAGTCAGGTAATCTTTCCTTGCAAAAATACAAGAATATCGTAGGTAACTGCTACTCATGAAGATAAACCTCCTGCCAAACAATTCAATGTTGAAACTGATACATTCTCTCGCAAGCATTAATCAAAATATCAGATGCACTAAATCTTCATATAATGTTTCACAGGCCAGTAATCACACTTAACTTCGTACTTCAAAGTCTTAAAATGAAGACAAAACCCCCTCTTTTCATTTATATGTTGCTTGAAAATGTTTGCTCAGTGTAATTGATTTAGTTGTTTTATACTACAAAGAAGAACGACTATATAATTTCATATACGTTTACAGCACCACACGCACACAGACATTGATATATGTATATTGCCATGTAGGTATATTCAAACATTGTACGTTATCGCATATATCAGTAGCTTTAGACAAACTATTTCTGGCTTATGTGTCATTACCATGGTAACCTAAGTAAACTATATCCACTAGTTACGGTAGTTATGATAGTTATAGTTATGGTATCAAAATGTACTATCATCTATGAGCTGTTAAACTCACCCAGTTTTATTGACATCAGGAAATATATAAAAAAAAATCATCAGCAGAATTCAGTCAAACTAAATCTTTCAGCTAAAATTCTTGCAGCCAGGATTACTATTCACGCTATCACACTATGTGTATATAAATACACCCTCGGGCTTACTTATACTAAAACAATAATTCACAGCAAAATACATTTACTTTCCTTGAACTGCAGCTGAAATTAATAACAATAGTGGAACCTTAGAGATACTGCATTTCAACCTATTTACTTCAGGTGGCATCACAAAAATGTAAATACAGGCAAATCCAATAAAACAAACATAATTATACTTAGCTTTACAACAACCCGACTTACTTTCTGTGTTTAAAATAATAAAAATATAAACAATTTCTTTTGCGTTATGTGTTCAGTAACAGTTTACAAGCTGAACTAACCTAACTGATTTATGGCCTTTTTTAATGAATTAGTAAGTTCTCTTATATACAGAGTCTCTATTTATCATTGGCTCTTGTTAGGATCTTAAAATGATTTGAATGAACGACTACACTATTTTCACCTTGGGTATGCTCTAATTCATTTGATCTATTTGGCATTTATTAAACTTGCATGTTATTTCACTTAGGATCATACTTTTCTTGTCGTAGAACTGATGTAACTTTAATTGATCAAGGACATTTGATTTTTTCAATTGTTTCTCCTACATTATACCAAAATCTTATTGTTTTGTATTTCTATAAAATATTTAAAATATATAATACTATTTGTTATTTCAATAAACCAAATGTCTCAATAGATTGACGAGTTGGACTTAAAAAAAATTCTTCTTTTTTTTTACTTTCAAAGATCAGAAATTGGTTTTGAATACTATAATAGTGATTAAAGTGAAGTATAGAAATTTTAAATATTATGGCAATGCATATAAGTGGTTGTATTCAAGTTTATATGGAA